CTTCCTTCCTTCCTTCCTTCCTTGTTTGCTTTCTTTTCATACCTTTCTTTTTCCTTTCTTCACATATTCTCTTCCTTTCCTCCCTCCCTCTAGCCCTCCTACCTATTTCCCATCAGTTCATCCCTCTAATGCGCATAGGATCCCTGTTTGTTTTAACTGGTAGCACTAATAAAAGAATGTGCTAAACTGAATCTCTTTGTTTCCTTATTGCCGTGGCAGATCAGAAAGTGCTGCAATCAGTGGACCGTCAGCTCCTAAGCAGCCCCCTTCTTCTCCAACCCGACCAGTCCCACCCTTGCCTCAGAGTGCAACTATCTTTAAGGTGACATCTTCAACTACAAACACACTACAAATAATGTAGAACCAAAGGAAGAATTAGTGCCTCAGTTTTCTACTGGTGTTTCAACTGCTGCAACAAATCATCCTTAGCTGAACTGATGTGTTGTTTGCACACAAACGGCACCTCATTCAAATCCAATTAAATCATCCCACTGAACGCTGACGTACGGAGGAGGCAGTGATAATGGAGTGTGTGGTGAGCGAACGTTGGCTTAGGACACTCAAATGCATTTCTTGTCGTTAGCAGCTGCCTGCTCAAAGAGAAATTAGTTTATCTGCATGTGAAGAATGTTGAGTTGCTTAGCTGACACCTTAATTTTGTTTCAAATAATTGTGAGAGGGAGACCAGGCTTTCTGCTGTAATGACTTATGTGACCACAACTCTGCTTGCCTTGACTGCTCCATTATTGCCCCAATGTTAATAGGAAGTGATTTGATGGATGTAATGGTTGATCAACAATAAAGCACAAGACGTTTTTTAATATGAGCTTTTATACATTAGGGTCAATTTCCTTGCAAAGATTGCCTGTGCATCTTTTTTAGTTCACTAGAACTGTAAACTAGGATATATTATGAGATTTTTTTGTTAGAGACCAACACAAAATCTTATTATAAATCTTTTTAACCTTAAAAATCTTAAGTGTGGCTGCCCTTTTTGTTCAGCCCCTGTTCGTCAATAATCTACAAGATTTGCAAGACTAAAGAAATGTATCCCCATAAATCTTTGCAAAAATATCTTTAACTCAGATTACAGGACAGTTATCTTATCATGCTGCAGATTTAGGTCTTAACTTTTACCTGGCTTTTAACACATTGGTATTTTTGCTAAAGTAGAGAGATATTCTAGTGTTTTATAGATATTAGAGAGTAGAGAGTTATTCTAGTTTTCTTAAACACATAGTATTTTAGGTCAGTTCCCTTTAGAGCGTTTTTCTTCCATGTGTTTGCTCTGCTCCCTGCATTTTTAACCTGGCATAAGCCTGATCGATTCATGTAGTACAACTTCATTTATACATAATATCCATCCAGAAAGGCTCCTGTTTAAAAAAGGGAGGGACATTCAATATCTCTTCAAGCTGATTGGCTAAATCGCCAAGTTGTACCTGCCTCCCGTGTCCTGCTTTTAGAAAGAAATAGTGTGTTCAAGCTAAAACAAACTGAATAGTGGAGTCTATGGGTAGGTCCATGGAGCAGCCATGTTGTTTTGCTTAAGCCTGCCATGTTCAGTTAACGTCATACAGGTCACTGCATTGATTCAAAACATTTGTGTATCGAGGTTAATGCATCTATTGACTTCTGGCAAGATGTATTTACAGGGTTTGTGGATTCACAAATTGGGTACAAATTGAATCTAAATCCTGATGGAGGTACTGTATGTGTTATCATATTTTTTGAATGATAACACATATATATATGATACATTTGTAACCTTTAAACAGGGCTTCATGTCTGTCTTTGCCACTCTTCCAGAAAGGTCAGATTGCAGAGTGCACATCTAACACTTGATTTGTCAGCAGCTTCTTCCACCCAACTTACAGATCTCTGCAGCTCCTGCAGAGGTTCCACACGCCTCATGGCTGCCTCTCAGATTAATGCTTTCATCGCCCGACCTTTGAATTAAGATTAAGGGTTTTTCTATTTCCAAAGTTGTACTACTAATAGAAAACACAGAGGTTTAAACACAAATTCCACAGTTTCTAGGTAGCTTTTTGTTCCTTTAAGGTTGAAATTTTCATACGTTTCCTTTTCTTTTATAGCTATTTGCTCATTTTTGTTGGTCCCTCAAAATACATTAAAGCTTGTTGCTATGTGAAAAAGCTCATGGGGTACTAATACTCTGGCAGGGCAGTTGGCAGCATGTGTTTTTTATTGAGTAAGAGGAAAGATGTAAGTCTGTTTGAAGTTAGCACAGTGCAGGTGAGGTCATTTTTCCACTTGCAAGATGAGGGCTAGGGTGTGTTTTAGCTGCTCACATCTGGCTGGCTGTAAATATGAAACAGATTCATATTATGGTTATACTTAATCTTCAATCTGTCTGTCGCAGTGTGGACTGTTTAGCTGTGTCAGTTTTAAATTAAGTCTAGTCTGCTTATGGGTGGGTTTTAGTCTTTAACTAGTTACCAGTAAAGGATTTACACGGTTGATTTGTTCATGCTTGACAGCGTCCAGAAGAAGGCGAAGAAAACAACATGATTAGTTCTGAAGGGAATGAGATGACTTAACTTTCCCACTTTGATCTTTTCCGCAGTCTCCTCAGCGGGTGCCAGATCCAGGACCCCCATCGGGTCCATACCCTCCTCACAGCCTGCACAGACTCCCCCAGTGTCCTCCAGTTCACCTCAGCCACCCTGTCCCTCTATCTCTCACGCTGTCCCTCACCCCTGGGCCCAAACAGCAGAGACCCCGAGCACCCCCGCCCCACCGGACCCCTCTGCCTCACTCCCACGTGGCACCCAGGGGGGCGTCGTTTCACAGCACATCACACCATAACTCTTGCAGGATGGTCATGGTGAGTGAATTTCCTGCTTGCTCAGTTGGAAATCTTTTTTAACTGTGATGTTAGTGCAATTTACTTGTTGCATCTGGAGTGCTTTTACCCCTGTAACACCAACCTAGGAAAAGATGTTGTTGATCACATTTCAGGTGTTGGTGAAGGTGTTTTGATGCCAGTTGTTTTCATGATGCTTTTCTATCCTATAAAAGTAGCAGCTTGTTCACAGCTATGTGAAGCCTAACAGAAATAACAAAGTTAGGCCAGAAGCTCGCACCATCTGAGCACAACACCGATCCCGCAACAGGGGGTAGTAGACCTGCTGCCACAGCCATTCCAATGAGTTTACTTATAGCTTTACCGGCTGGAGGAGGAAGGTGGAGATCCTCTCTTAGTCGACGATTAGAAAAAAACTCAAACTACCTACTTAGAAGTAATTTGTAAAAGTATTCATGTCCATTAAATGTCAAAGCATGTTGTTCTGATCTTTTTTGATAAATCATTATAAGGACAATAATTGGCAAAAATATGTTTTTCTCAAAAGTAATCTAAGATTAATGGTATGCACATTTTATCTTTGGTTCAAGCCTCTATCAGCTTTGTTTTTACCAATTTTCCTTTGCAAAGTAGCTGAAGTTCAGCTTGGATGGCTGATCTTAATGTGATTTAGATCTGGAACCTTCTAATAATTGGGATGTTATGATGTCAACCATTCCCTTCTAACTCTGGCTGTTGCTTTCGCATAGCACAATGCCACAGACATTTATAACAATGGTACGGAGTTTGTTCATTCTCATTAGAAAAAAAAAATATGTTCATGTCTTTGGGGTTTCTCTCAACCATGGCTTTCTCCTTCCCTCTCTTTTGATTCAGTTTTTAAATTCATTTCACCTTATTTACACTAATTCATAATCCCTGTTGTATCAAGGAATTTTTTTCTGAAAAAAGGCCAAATTGGAAGAGTATGTGCCTTCTCTCTATTTGATAAATGTAAATAGTTTCACAAGGTTTTATTTAGGGGTACCAGGACAAAAGGGGACTGAAGTCAAATTTTTTTCTGTTTTAAAAACAAAACATGAAAAGCATTCAGTTTTATTATAGTCTGTCACACTCAGGCTCATGAAATAGGTGATATTGTGACAAAACCTGATGATGACCGAGTCGTGTGAGCGCTTTCAAAAGGCACTGAACTCTGCAACTTCTTCATTATGTTTGAAGGTGCTACTCCTTGTTTTTAGGATCTAATGTGAAAAATAAATGTAGGTCTTTGTTCACTTGATTTAAACCGCAGTAAGTGTCTGAGCTAAAGTCAATTGTTTTATTTTGTCAGTTTACTGGAAGAAAAAGAAAATCAGCATTAACATAGTCATTATTGTCCCAGAAGATAATTAGCTCTGCTCTTCTTAAATTAGAGAAACATATGTTTTTAGATCATTTGCATTCACAGGCTTAAGGCTCAGCTCCAAGGAGTGAGCCAAGGAAAAAAAAAAGGCATATTTTTTTCTTCTGCTAATTTGCTCACATACTTCAGGTCTCAGGAGAATTGGAGAGAAGTGACAGGTTTGTTTTGTGAATGTTTTTGTGCTTTTATAGGCATTTTCTTCATTTCTCATTATAACATTTACAAATAGAAGCTCCACATACTGGGTTTGAAATGTTTTTTTTTTTTTTTCACAAACTCACAAATTTTCTATTTATTAAGACTCTGCCACTTGAAAGTGAATAAGATGATGTAAGATACGATTTGTTCAAACATTCAGCTCTCTCCTCTATTGGTAACATTGGAAAAGATTTGTAAAAAGACTTAAAGTAAATATATCTTTTATTTTGGCAGAATAATTTGAGATTTAAAGCCTGCAATTGTCCAAATGTTTTTTTTTTTTTCTTTTTCTATTTACTCCTACCGGAATATACAGACAAGTTTAGGTGGGTATTTAAAAATCTACTCAGAAGTTTTAATTATTTTCTGCCATTTCCCATACAATATGAGGAATGAGACACGTCTCTCCATTATGTTTAACAAAAGGATGAAACCATTAATTATCAAACATAGTTTTTTGTTGTTTTTTTAAACCTTAATAGGAAACAGAAGTTTCCACAACCTGAATATTTTCCCCAATGCTGCACACACAAGGTCAGTGAAATAAATGCATCATTAGGAAATGCTGGGGAAACTTTTCACCCACCACCTTGAATGTGACATTCTTCAGTCCAACTCGATTATTAAAAATACAAGGCCTAGTTGGTCTGCCTCTTTTTACAGCTCAGCATATAAAAGCAAAGAAATCTGAAGTGTCTTCGTACCCCTCCTTACTTTAGCATCATTGAATCACTTTAGGTTGATCTTAGATGGATATTTCATAAAATACTGACTAAGAATTCACAGGAATGGTTGACGTTACTCCCACTAAACTTTTGAAACTGTTGTTGATAAAGGCTAAATCCCCAGTTATTGTCTTACTTTAAGGGATTTTTTGTGTTTCATATTTTAAACAATGAATAATAGATTAGGGCATTGAAGAAGTGACTAGCACTGTTGCAGCAATAAGGTTCTGGGTTCGATCCCTGGCCCAGGGTCTTTCTGCATGGAGTTTGCAGGTTCTCTCAATCCATGTGCGTGTTCTCTCCGGGTACTCCGTCTTCTTCCCACAGCTCATAAACACAACTGTTAGGTTAATTGGTGCCATGCCCACTGTGACTCTGACAGGACTAAGCAGGAGAAGATGGATATTTTTACCCTATTTTCAATAAATTTAAAAGAAGTAAAGTAAAATAGGTGTTTCATTTATTTGTATTACAGTAATTAGTTTTTTTTAGGGATGGCTCAGGCCAAAACTAAATGAATAAATGAAGGCTAAGTAAATTGAAGGATGGTTTTTAACATTATCAGTGGAAAATGTACCTACTGTAGTAAAATACATTTTACTTTTTTGCACATCTGTTTCTCAAACCAGGAGATCCAATAAACAAAGTTAGCATTCAGTTTTCAATGTCAGCATTTAGTTTTACACCGCATCTTGATTTCCTCACACCTGTTCAGCAGGTGCCAAGCAGCCGTTCTTTGCCGGGGTTTCTCTTTCGGAAGTAGACCCCCCTCTGTCGCTCCATGTTGTTGTCAAAACCTGAAAGCGATTCCTTTTGGCAGCAGACGGTATCCCTGACAGTATCCTATGCAGCTGTTTGGCAGCTCCAACATGTTGACAGACGACATAAAACACAAGTGAAAGCTATCTGCTAAAGGCACTAAGCTTTGCTTCCACACAGATTTGTGTTGTAGTTTGGGTTTGGTTGTGTTTTTGCTGAAGCTGCAGAAGCATTTAGTCAGTTGATAAAATGATCTTTTTTTTTTCACCTATAGGTATTTTGCTTGGTTGCTGTTTGATAAGGGTATTTGGAATATTTTTGTATGGAGCATAAGCTAGCTTTGTTTACAGAATGGCAGGATTTGCTGTGTTGAGTGTGAGGTGTCAGATTTTGTCTGAGGTGCCAAGAAGAAGACAAGTGGAAGCCTGCTGAGATTTAGAAAACAGCCCTTTGTCCTGACTTGAGTTTCTCCAAAGATAAACCAACATGATGCCTCTTCTCATCATATGTTGCCTGATAAATGTGCCAATGTGTCTGAATGAAAATGAGAAATGTAACATGTGCTGATCTGTTTATCATCAGTGCCCTCTGGTGGGTATTTTCAGCTATTACTTGTATCTTTCCTTAAACAGGAGCTGGAGAAGCCTAGTCCTCCACAAAAACCTCTTCCTGCCGACCCAAGGACCTCCCGGCTGGTGCGTAGTCCATCTGGTGTTCAGAGCAGCACGTTAGTCCGAGGCTCCTCTGCAGTTTGTGGCCCTGCGGCTGAAACTGGTGCCCCCAGAGCAGCACGCCCAGTTCCCCACCCCAAAAAGTGAGGATCATTCACACGTAATGGGAGTGAATGTCATGTTAACTTGGGACTTTTAATAACACATTTTAAGCCTCATTTTGCCAGGGTTGTGGGATTATACAGCAAAGAGCCTGGATTTGTAAATACAAGAAGATAACAGCTTTTGTTCTTTTAAAAAATAATCCTTCTCAAAGCACTTAATGGATTAATTAAGCAGAATTAAAAAAGAGAGATGTGGAAATGTATTATTTTCAAAGTTAAGTCTGATGTAATTTACCGCAAAATCAATTTAACTTTCAACTCTCTAAAGGAAAAGATGCGCATAGTTCAGATAAGATGCACAATCCCTGCAGATTTAACCATTTAATCCTTATTACCGGTAAACACATTAACATATTTTTAAAATCTTCAGGACGTTAAATAGCAAAAAACTACAGGTATATTTGTATCAATAAAGTATAAATTCTGCTAATATCACTTTACATCACATTTTAAAAGATTATTTGCAAGACTATTGGAAAACAAGTTACGCCTTTGCATTTTATGAAAATTGTTATTAAGTTAAAGAAGCTAAACACTGTCATCCTTATCTTAAAGTAAACTGGTCAGGATGTTTAGAAATAATCTAAGAACAAAGATAGCTGAAGGATGTCAGAAAATCCTACTAGTACTTTTTCAGTATGGTACTGATTCAAGTTTTACATCATTGTGAAATTAGAAAAATAAATTAGCCCACTACTTAAAAGTTGAAAGCTTCAAGATCTCCTTAAGCCACTTTTCTTAGGGGGAGTGGCATGACCAGCTAGTCTGCTGCTAGTTTTACTCACATACCTGGAAGATGTCTTGTGCTGCGACCACAGATGATCTCGCTCTCGAAATGGAATTGAATGATTCAGATTAGCTAGAATGAATAGAAGGGGTAGACTCCAGCCTGGCGTGCAGATGACATCATACACACTCCACTTTGTTTTAAAAAGAATATAAATATAAAAAATATAACCACGGATATCTGGGGGACAGTGATTCGCCTACATGTTATGAATGCTGGCGTACCATAAAGAATAAATTATGAACAGTTTAGTTTGTGCCTTCAACTCGTTGCCCATAGGAAGACTTTACTTGGATTACAAAACCGAATATCTTCAGAACAGCTCCAAATGACACAAAACTCATATGGGTGAGTAGAACATGATGTAATAACGTTAAATCAAGGGCCCAATGTAAAAAAAAAAAACGGTGTTCCCCTTTAATGACATAGGCTCAAGATAAATATATATTGCATAGACATAAGTCCAAACATTTCTTTTTTTTTAAACTGGCAAAGAACAAAGAAGTGTCCCTTTTTTTATTCAAGGTGCAGTTTGCTAGTGGCCATTTAAACAAATATTAGGAGCACTGTATGTATGCAAAGCTCAAATCTCACACATCTCTTTTTCTTTTCTCCATCCCTAGGTTGAGTCCCAAGCATCCTCCGACGCTACCAAAGCCTTGCGTTATTGCCAACGTCAGATACAACAGCTGAGACTTTGACCAGAGGGGGCAGTGGTTTTTTGTAACGGAAACAATTTTTTTAAAATTGCACTATTAAAAACTCTGAGAAACACACATAAACAAATGGTGTAGGCACCTCTGAGTTTTCAACCTTGAGATTCGCCGGGTCCCTTTTGGTGCTCTGCCTCTGAATGGTGCTATGAGTCTGCGCTCAGGTAGATGTAAAGTATTTATAATTGTGTATTTATTGCCACCCAGTGCACTGTGCCAGACACTTTTACTACACCGGAACAAGTTTGACTCTTCTTTTTTTATTTCACTTTTTTATATATACACTGTTTTATTTTATTTTTTTTTTTAAGTAGGAAAACATTAAAAAATCTGTGAACCATCTACGTGTGCAGTGGCTTTTAAAAAGTTTTCATAACCTTTTAACTTTTTCATACTTTCTTACGTTAATACCTGCAGTTTAATGGTATATTATGTAGTTGACCAAAACAAAGCCTGGGATCATTGTAATGGACACAGAAATTATGGTAAAGTTCATCACAGCATATAGGGGATGATAAAACATTTCAAGGATAGGACAAAAATGTAATTTTTTTTTTTATTCTGAGGTAAGATGGATACTCTATCCAGTTTCACTGAGCTTGAGCTGCTTTGCAAAAGATCTGTAGATGTGCAAACCTGTTGGACATTGCCCAAAAGACCAGCAGCTATGTATTATTATATCAGTTTTCCTTCTACTTAACAGTTATGCTATACTTTGTGCTGATCTATCATTAAAAAAAACAATTAGGCATACTAAATTTTTTAAGCAAATTAGCATTGAATGGACTTATGGATGTGAAAAAGTTAAAGGGTTATTGTTTTGAAAGACACTGTGGATGTGTTTCTGTAAAAGCGATACGAAAGGGAACTCACAACATTACGGTTTTATTCTCTAGACTACATGTAGAGCTTAAAATGAGTATTTTTGCAAAGACTGTTGATGCCTCTGAGGTTTTTTGAAGCAGAATGCTCCGTATTGCATCTTTGAGCCAATCTGGAAAGGCTTGAAACAACCATGGAATCCCAGAAAGTGGCGTTACGACCTCAGCTGTAAGAATTAGGAGGTTTTGTGTTGGCCTCTTTCTTCATCTTAATCACAAAAAGCTCTGACACAAGTTGAAATCAAAAACATGAATCTGTGAAACACGATGTCTGTGGGTGTTTTAAGAGTTTGACTCTATGCCTTCCTGCACAAATGACTGATCCAGCCATGGAATGGCTAAAGACTTTGCTCACTTGTAAACTGCAGCTGTTCTGCTGCAGCTTTCATTAAAATGCTGTTTTTACTTTGACAATGAAAAGATGGTTTCACTTTAAAGCAATGCTGTGCAACTTTTGGCCAAAGTATTATTTTATTTGAGATATACCAGATGATTTTTTTAATGTAAGTACTCAGCGCAGATTGATGTTTTGTACGAGCTGCCCTTCTCTACGAATGGCTATGTAACTGGAAAGGGTTAAAAGCATCACTGAATTAGTCATGTGACCCAGACTGCCACTTATGATTGGTTCTCTTATGTGGGATTTGATCTAAAGGACTGAATTGTAATAAAAGTGGTCTTTTATCAGACTAAAAGCACGGAGCGAGACTGGCTAGTTTTGTGACATTGCAGTGCCACCAGTGGCCTTCAGGGGGAGCTATCCTCGATGTTACAGGCTAAGTGGCCCCTGGTAGCTAAAAGTTACAGTGTTGCTTTGAAAGGTCAATGTTTGTCCTGTGAATCCATCTGTGTTTTTAAGGTTTGCTTTTTATTTTAGATATATTTAGTAAAAAAAAACAACATTCGCAATGTTTTATCATTCTGACTAAACAAATTGTTCACTTAGCAGTTTAGTTTGTTCTGGTAGAAGATAATTCACATGCATATTGGTTTTATTTTCAGTGCAATTTTTATTTTTACTCTGCATTCATTCGCCTTTACGTTTCTCTGTGCTCATGTTCTAAATACTGTTGTAACATCTCTGTATGTTATCGATGTATATTTGTCGTGTTACTAGTGAAAACATTTTCACAATGTTTTTTTTTACTAATAACCGTTTGATACCTTAATTGTAAAGAAATGCTAAAGTGTCATTCACCAATTTCAAACACGGGCAGCATCAGTAAAGCTGTTTTAATAAAGAGGAAATTGTGTTCTTTTGTTATTTTTTCACATTTAGTCACATTTATTGGTCATGTGTAAATGTTAAGAGCCTAAAGCATGGTTCCCACAGTCTGGAACTTTCTGAAGAATATTCTGGACCTGAAGAAGCATCGAAAAATGATTGTATTTCCAGACTTTATTGCCTATTTTTGTTTAAGTAAAATAGGAATCAGGAATATTGCTGTTGTTAGACTATAGGAGGGTATGAAGTTTCACCTCTTCATATCCCTTTCAGGCATAACACATTATATGTGACATTAATTATATAATTTTTATTTTTTCTGGTTTGTCTTAAAGTTAATTCATTCATTCATGTCCCATAATCTAAAAGTTGACCTTCCTGTCATTCTTCATTGGGTTCTTTTCTCTTTCTTCCTCTGTTTTTCCTTTCTTAAATAGTTTTTCTTCCCCTTTTCCACCCTTTTTTCAGCTTTTTTATTTTCTTTATACAGTCACTAGTACAGAGCAACAAAATTAACTCTTTGCATTTAACCCATCCCCTTGGGGAGCAGTGGGCTGCCATTGTGCAGCGCCCAGGGAGCAGTGTGGGGTTAAGGATCTTGCTCAGGGACCCAGAGTGACAGTCTGTGGGAGTGGGGCTGGAACTCAGAACCTCTTGATTCAGAGCTCAATGTCCTAACCACCATGCTGCCACTCCCCCCTTACTTCCTTTTACCCTTCCTTATATTCCTTCCTTTCTTTCCCTCATTCCATATCTTCCTTTGTGTCCCTCTTTTCTTTCATCTTTGTCCCTGTTTCCCATCTGCTTTTTCTTTCTTGATCTATTCTTGAGAAAGGTTGAGTCTTAAATGCTATGTGGAATGGTGAGAACATCAGCTCTTGGGGGACCTTGTAAATAACTCTGAATGCATGATAATTACACTGGTAAAATGCTTACCAATATATAGTTAGACATATATCTAATATAGTTAGACCTCGTTGGCAAGCTTAGATTCTCCACAATACAAAAGACAAGTTAATTCTAAGGACATAGCGAGACAGAACTGGTGGGGGGGATCTTCATTGTGCATTCTCATTTTCTTCCACGTGTGTATTGGAATAAAGTGGTGGAGATTATGACACAGGCACAAGCTGGGATAACTGAGTTGTCACTATGGAGCACACGTGGGAGGTCACGTTGGGGCCAGTTTGTGCACCAGTGTGCAGACGGCTCAGAAAGTTACCAAGCGAGCAACTTCACAGGCACAACTTTAAGGCCACTGATACCACCATTCAACCCCTACTTTGTCCTAATAACAGAAAAGTGTGATGTCAATTGAAAGTTACTCGCCAGAGGCAGAAATATTCACTGACAGTGGAGGAGAAGATCCAGCTTCTGATTTTGGAGATGATTTGGAGTTGAATCATTTTGATGGGCTAACCTTTTCCTCTCGTTACTACAAGTTACTGGAAGAGAGGAAGAGTCTTTCAGTGTGGAGGATCAGGAATCAGTTTGAAGATGCTCTGCAAAACAACCAGTTGGTGATTGTATCTGGAGTTGCACAAACTGGCAGGAGTACAGAGGTGAGAAAAGGAACAGGCCTCTACAGATATTACAGGTTGACAACAAATTTATATTTTTCTTCACAAAGCAAAACAATCTGTGTTTTATTGTTCATTTATTGTTGGTTTTTTGCTCTTCTTTGACAATATGAAGTTGATTGTATGCTAACAATTTGAATAGAGAAGAATATGGAAAAAGTTGATGCGTTCTTTTACTCCTGCTTTACCTCATCTCCCACCTTTAAATGTTTCAAATCATTACCAATTTTATCATCACAAAAAGATAGGTGAGACTGGATAACACAAAATGCATTTATTGAATAACATCTATTGAGAGAAGAAAGTAGCCAACTTGGTGTTATGTAGAAAACGTACGCACTGGTTTAACCACCAGAACCAAACACATGTGGTAAAGGTCATATTGCTATATTTGAGAGTTTTTAGAGTGGAACAGTTATAAGGCAACAGCAAAGCATCCCATTCACAATGGATCCAGACTTTGATTAGGCCACTTCAAAAAAAATTTAAGCCCTCAGTGTTGCACTTGCTAGTTGCTTTAGATCATTATCCATCTATGTAGCCTTAATCTGAGATACTTTATAGTATTTTCTCTAACTATAGACTTTATAGTGGTCCAAAAGGACTTTAGGAAATGTTCCATTTTTGTTATCTGTCCTCCAAATGTTTTTAAAAGTTCTGGGGATTATCCGGATCTCTCTGGTTATTTTATTTTACCTAAAAGTTCACTTATCCATGCTATTTTTACGCAACCTCTCTTTCCTAAAAAGTTCTTTAACCAGTCAGCCCTGAAATATCCTCGAAGTTATGGTTTTTTTTTTGGCCACCCTAGTAAGTCATTCATGTAAGCAATATAAAGGTGAAGGAGGGAGGGTACTACCCTGTTATATACTTGTTCTATATTTAGTAAAATTTTTATGGTAGATTCTTTTTTCAAGTTCTACATGTTAGAATAGTTTGGTTAAGTAATTATTTTATTTCATTGGCCAGGCATTAATCTCTCTTGGGTGTGAGCAAACTAAAATGTGGAACATCTAAAAGAGCCATACAGAGTTGGAAAGCTTGGCTTTGAGAAAAAATCTCTGAGATTTCATCCCATTAAATTTTACATAGTACTGGTATTGCTATCCTCTAACTTCACTTGAAGGTGCACTCTTTTCTCACTAGTGAGTTTAGATATTAGTATCTATGTGCTGAGCAGCAAATTCACACCCTCATAGAAGCTGCACCATGACGTCTTTACATCATGTCAATGTCTCATATGTACACTGTTGTTTCATGAAAATATATGAATTTATAATAAAAACTTTAGGGGTATACTAACCTTTGTGAAAAGTATGAGTTGGTAAATAAATTTTATTTGTTAAATGTCTTTCATAGACACTAAAACAAACAATCCCAAATCATCAATAAATATTTTGCCTAATAGAAAAAAAAATGCAAAATAAAAAAAAAGTGTAACTCTGCTTACATGCTTTCCACATCCTCAATCCAAATTGTTTAATAAAGAGAAATATGTTTGTTTCCCTTTTGGTTTGATATCATCAGCTTTAAACTGCTGAGCTTTTTTCAGCTAAATTTGCCCAGCTCAGCAGATGTCGTTGTCACAGGGAGGCTGCCTGCCTGCTGGCTTGTCACTCGGCACAAAGACCTTCAGCAGCCTTGTTAGGGGACCTCCTGCTGCTAAGCCCCAATCCTCTGGAGCCGCCGCATGCTGCCGAAGCAATTTTGCATTATGAACAATAATAGCGTCGTATCTGTTCTGCCTCTATTTGTTTTGCTCATGCTCAAGCTCTTAATATAATCCTCCAAGCATGCACTCAAACTTTGAGAATGAAGCTGTTATGGTTGAAAACACACTGCAGTCCGTGATGCTGTGCAAACATTTTCTTTGATTGACTCTCCTTTTTAGATTCCTCAGTGGTGTGCAGAGTTCTGCTTGTCTGCCCAGTTTCAGCATGGCATGGTTGTGTGCACACAGACCAACAAACAGCAGGCTGTGGATCTTGTCCTGCGTGTGGCCGATGAAATGGACGTGAACATCGGCCATGAAGTGGGCTACACTATTCCTCTAGAGACCTGCTGCTCCTCTGACACTGTCTTAAGGTTGGTTGATGTCTCTGTCTGCAAGCTAACAGCAAACCTTGTACAGTACTTTTACAAGGGTATCCATATTGAGATATTACTCCTTTAACTTAAAAAAAAATAAAAATTATACCACAGCAAACTTCAATATATTTCTACCTGAAGAGACTCACACATAGAAAAATATTCAATTTTTTATACAGGTAACAATATTATTCTTCAAATTATTTCTAAAGAAAACCAACTGATTGTGAGCACTCTGCAATCACCCCTACTGAGCATGCATGTAGCGACAGTGGAGGGGAAAACTCCCTTTTAACAGGAAGAAACCTCCAGGAGAACCAGGCTCAGTGTGAGCGGCCATCTGCAGAGGCCGACTGGGGTTAAATGAGATGAAAGCAGATAATGACATAAATGAAATAAGTTATTTGGTGCTCGGGCCCTGGCAGAAGACTTTGATGCTGTGAATCAACATTCACTTGGATGAGTACCCTAGAAAAGGACACTGGTGGTGGGACAAGCCAGAGGTTGAGTGGGACTCGTCTGAATGAGAGAATGAGGGAGGAGATGGGGTGGAGGTGGGTGAAAGTTTGCTTGTATGCAGACTTAGACTTAGACAAACTTTATTGATATTTTGTATACACAGTGTATACAGAAGGAAATTTCGTTTTGTACACCTCGCATGAAATTTTAATTTCTAAAAGTGCAGCAGTGATCAAATGTAAACACTGTGGGAGGAAAAAGACACGGTGGGGGAAAAAAAATGCATTGATATGGTCAGTTTGATGAAGAGCCTGTGACATGATTTCGAGTTTTTTAACATTCAGCTTTCTGATGGTGTTTGGGAAGAAGCTTTTTTGGAGGGCAGGAGGGAGAACAGTCCATGGTGGGGCTGTAAGGGGTCGCTGTTGATGTTACAGGATCAGGACGCACAGCGTAGGGATGATATGTCTTTTATGGAGGGAAGAGGAGTCCTGATGATCTTCTCTGCAGTTCTCACTACTCTCCTCACCTTCTTCCAGTCTCCAGCGCTGCAGCCCCCACACTATACAGTGAAACAGCTGGTCAGAATGCTCTGTGCAGGAGAGAGAAGCTAGGCCAGTAGCTAAATGAAGGGGATCTTGCAGGATGATTGGCTTCTGAGAAGGTGCATCCCCGAGTTGATTGGCTGGAGCTGAACGAGGGGCATTGCAAGTGGTTCAAATGAAGCTGATAAGAGTATTCCAGACTGAATTTTTAGCTTAAGCTTCACTTCAGTAATATTCCATGTGACTGCTCCACACAGGATGGAAGGCAAAGCAATGGATTGATTTTAAAGTCTTTTGTAAAACTTGAAATCAAGAAATGGGTGTATAAATTTGTATTAATCCCCTTTGCTCTGACAAATTAAACAATTTCTTAAGCTGTAAACTCACAGAGTACTCTTCATCATCTGAAAATAAAAACCTATTGCAGAACTGAAGAACTATAAAGACACAATCTTTCACCTAGACTGACTGGCAAGGCAATGAGATCACTGATTGAACAATCAAGCAGGCCCAGGAACAATAATCTGTGAACAGGAAAATAGCTCTAATATGGAGAACATTTTGTTTCAAAATAGATGCATAGCTTCATGTACTGCATTTGTTTTTGAACACACATTTACAAGTACCTGAAGTTATGCACAAAATGCGATTTACAAATTACAACAACAAAAAAATCACAAATCAAAGCATTACAGACAACAAAATGATCTCCTATCTAAACAGGCTCTAAAAATGATGGTGGCAGAATTACACCAAGGGGAAGATTTTTCGAAATAAAGATTTGAGGTAGAGTGAAGGCAGATAGAACTAAAGACATGGAAATCAGANTTAAACAATTTCTTAAGCTGTAAACTCACAGAGTACTCTTCATCATCTGAAAATAAAAACCTATTGCAGAACTGAAGAACTATAAAGACACAATCTTTCACCTAGACTGACTGGCAAGGCAATGAGATCACTGATTGAACAATCAAGCAGGCCCAGGAACAATAATCTGTGAACAGGAAAATAGCTCTAATATGGAGAACATTTTGTTTCAAAATAGATGCATAGCTTCATGTACTGCATTTGTTTTTGAACACACATTTACAAGTACCTGAAGTTATGCACAAAATGCGATTTACAAATTACAACAACAAAAAAATCACAAATCAAAGCATTACAGACAACAAAATGATCTCCTATCTAAACAGGCTCTAAAAATGATGGTGGCAGAATTACACCAAGGGGAAGATTTTTCGAAATAAAGATTTGAGGTAGAGTGAAGGCAGATAGAACTAAAGACATGGAAATCAGAGCAGACAACCTGATGGAGACTGAGGTTCTCCTTTAAAAAGAAGAATGAGCCAAAATCTATTAAATTAAATCCTACATCAAAGCATGTTCATTGTCCAGGTAGGCCCAGTTAAATTCCTGAGCTCTATCCATCTATCATGAGCTCATTCTACAAAAGTAAAAATAAGCAAGAGTTCAGTTAAATATGCAAGGATGGTGGAGACATTGTGTACAAGGCACTGAGATACTGTAGCAGGTTTTCAGATTGATCAACGAGGAAAGCTGAACACAAATGTTTGCAACAACTTTTACATTTTAATATGTAAAAACCTTCAAAGACCATCAATTTCCTTTCACCCCAGATATGTGCTACTCTGTGTTTATCTGTCACACATAAAACACACAAGGTTGTGGATGTAACATGATACAATTAACTTTTTAAGGGGTTCTACGATGGAGTAAAAATATACCGAAAAAAAGTATTTTTAAAGGAGTTGATGAAAATAAGGTTCAATATTTACTTAACTTGTAAACATTTAAAGCACTTTACATGGTTGTGTGTATTAAACATTTTTTACTTTGAGATTCCATTCATCCATGTTTTTTATATAGAAGATATAACCTTGATAGACCAATTTCCTGTCATCCATAATAGTATTTTAAATGGTTTCTGAGAGCTTTGTCAATATGGTAAAAAAAAAAAAAAAAAAAACGTTCATTATGAAAGATGTTTAAAAAATGTGAAGGAAAAAAAAGGCTATATTTCATCTGCTAGGTACTGCACTGATGACATGTTGCTGAGAGAGATGATGTCAGACCCTCTTCTGGAGCAATATGGAGTCATTATTATAGACCAGGCCCATGAGAGGACAGCAAGCACAGACATCCTCCTGGGTTTCCTAAAGAACATCCTGCTGCAGAGACCAGAGCTCAGGGTTGTTGTCCTCACCATGTCCCATGTGGTGGAGAAGCTCCTGGGACACTATGGAAGCGTCCCTCTTCTCAACCTTGAGGCGTGTGGTTCTCCAGAGGTGGTCTACTACAACATCAGCAGCAAAGATTACTTTTCCTCTGCAATAGCATTGATTCAGGAGATCCACCGTACAAAGGAGAGCGGAGATGTTGCTGTGTTTTTTACATCAGAGGAGGTAAGAATTGTTTTTTATTTTGTTATTTTAACAGGTGTTTTTTTAACCAAAAGCTGGTGGACACTGTCTGTTTAAACAAATATTTCCTATAGGAAGTCCACCACGCTTGGAGCATCATACAGAGTGAGGGCCCCAGGTCGGTAGAGGAACTGGACCAAATCAGGCCAGTCATCCTGTGCCAAAGCCAGCAAGGGCTGCGCCCTTTACTGACCCAGCAAGTGGGCGGCATGAACTCCAGGAGGGTTTTTCTTTTGACCCAACAACAGGAGGATTTGTGCTGGACAGAGCAATCGGTCAACTTTGTTATCGACACAGGTGTTCAGACAAAAATGGTACAGCAATACAGTGTGTCTAAAAAGTATTCACTGTGCCAAATTTTTCCATTTTTAATGTTACATTCTTTTCCAAATGGTGTTAAATTAACTTCCATTCTTCAAAATGCTACTCAAAATCTATTACAGCAATGAGAAAATGATCATTTGAGATGCAGATTTATTAGAAATAGAAAATTAAGAATTCGGACATACAGTAACTAAATATTTACAGTCTTTGCTTATAAAGTCCAAATTGAGTTGAAAAGTTTCCACCGATTATCTTTGAGATGTTTCTACAGCTTAAATTGACACAACTTTTGGTAAATTCAGTTGATTGGGAGATAGGGACATGTCTGTCTATATAAGGTCCCACAGCAGTCAGAGAACGAACAACAAACATTAAGTTAAAGACCTCTGAGACAGGATTGTCTTGATGCTCAAATCTGGGAAAGCATACTGTAACATTTCTGCAGCATATTTAATACGGAAGCCTCCATCATTCGACCATCCCTGCAGCAATCCACCAATCAGGAATGTGCGATAAATTGGCCAGACAAAAGCCAGTCCTTAAAAAAAGGCCCATGGCAGCCCATATGAACTCCTAAAGTACTGTCAGGCCGTAACGTACAAGATTCTCTGTTCTGATGAGACAATGATTGAACTTTTTAATGTGAACAACTGGAAAACAGGTCAATACCATCCCTGCAGTGAAGCATGGTGGATGCAGCATCATGCTCTGGGGATTTTTTTCAGCAGCGATAACTGACAGCAGGGTCAGGATAGAGGAAAAGACAAATGCAGCAATGTACAGATTCACCATAGAAAAAACTTCTCTGCTGCATTCCTGACCCAGAGCACACAGCCAACACCTTTCTCATTGTCATAACAATAGAAAGTATGAAGAATTTTGAGGAAAGAGGTAGTTTTTCTTGACCAATTCACATGACTAAATGTTGGAAAAGTGCAGCATTGTGAATATACTTTCTGGAGGCATGGTCCTTCCTAAGAGAGCATGGTCCTTCCTAAGAGAGATGTTGGTGATGACGTACCACTGTATAATTTTGGTCTATTATTTTTCTGAAAATTTTTTTTGAAGGTTTACAATCCAAGAGTACGAGCTTACTCTGCGGTGCATGAGCCCATCAGTCGGTGTCAAGCAGATATACGCAGACACCTCTGTGGACCAACAGGTAGATTTTCCAGTTAAGCCTTTTTGCTTTTAATCAATCAAATTACTTAATTTATGAATGCCACATTTTTAAGTGTTTTTTCTTTTGTTTTGTTTTTTAAGGTAAATGTTTCCGTCTGTATCCTGAGGCGGGCCTACCCCAGGCTGAGACCTATCCGCAGATTTTGGACTGCAACATTACACCTCTGGTTCTCTTCCTAAAGAGGATGGAGATAGCAGGTCTTGGACCGTGTCACTTCATCGATAGACCAGGTATGGTATACTATCAATTCAAAGGAATTCTGGATAACTCTAAATGGGTCATAGAATGCAAAACCGAGTTGACATTGCCATAGATGACTAATGACAGTTCAGTGGGTGAAATGGACTTACAGAGAAGTTCAAACCCCATCGACACCTCCTTTCTATGCAAATCTCACAATTCCAAACTTCTACCATTAAACAGGTGAATTCAAACGAAGCCCAGAGTTGACGTGAACTCAGAGATGTTGCCTTATTTGGTTTTGACTTGTACTTTTATCACACCCCGGGAAAGACATAATAAATGTTTATACCACTTCAAATCTGATTCAATTTAATGGACATACTTACTTGTAAGTTAACACCACACCCATGCAAGGTAATTACTGGACATATCACCAATTGGACCATTTTGGCAGAAAAGACTATATAGATTTGAACTCAATAGCATTTTCTTTAAGAATAAACATTATTTGAAATAAAAGTAATATCAGTCAGATGACAAAGCGGTATAAAACCAAAATGAATGGATGAGAGGGATGAGAATAGGTAAAGAGTGATTGATTGAAGGGGGTTGTAAAAAGGGATGAACAGGATGAGATGAATGGATATAAGGATGGGTGAAATTGAAATGAATAGGGAGGATAAATGGATAAAGATAGAATAAAACAGATGTGTGGAGCGAGAGGGCATTTAGGGATTAGAGAAAGATTTAATGATAGAGGGAAACTTGATTTAAAACATCAACTTTTTTGTGTGTGTTGATTAAAACCAATGTGCTAAAATGAGATGCCGATTGTTACAGTGATGGGGGGCATTCAAAGATATGTTTATTAAATATATATATATATATATATATGTACATATTTTCTTTCTAGTCAGTTAACTGTACTTAGGGGGTTGAATTATTATTATTTTTTTTAAACAATTTCCAACCAGAACATTTGACTAAATGTACAAAGAATCTAAATATCTCTGTAAAACAGCCCCAAATGCTTCCTTCATTCATGGAAGTAATAATGATCTTTGAGGTTTCCTTCCTCTGTGACAGATCCAGAAGGACTCATGCAGGCCTTTGAGGAGCTGGACTACCTGGCAGCTTTAGATGATGATGGGAACTTGTCTGAAATTGGTATTATCCTGTCTGAAATCCCCCTGGATCCTCAGATGGCCAAAGCCCTGTTAGCGTCCTGCGAGTTTGACTGTGTGAGTGAGATGCTAACCATCATAGCCATGCTGTCAGGTATGAATGTTCCACATATTCACCTTGAGTCACTCAGTTTTGGTTAGTTTAAGGAGTAATGGTCTCATTGTCTTGTAGCACCAAGCTGCTTCCTGCAGCCAGCCAGTCAGAGTCACAGAAAGTTCCAACATCCTGAGGGCGATCACTTCACACTTATAAATATCTATAACGCCTTTAAAGAAAAACAAAGGAACCAGTGTAAGATACAACTTTACTCTTGCTTTACTCACCAGTTGAGTTCAGATATTTTTTGTTTAGTTTTATGTGAGAAAATAGAGTTTGTTGAGTTTTTAATCACCACACTACATGTTACATTATTTTAAATGACAATCAAACTGCACTGTACTTTTTCTTTTTTTGTTAGACTTAAATGTTAAAACCTGGTGCCAGGATTACTTTCTGGATTATTCTGCTCTGATGATCGCTGACACCATTAGGTTAGAGCTGACCGGCACCCTGAACAGAATCGAGCTTCCCATATCTGAACCATCCTTTGGAACCAAAACAAACACTGACAACATAAAAAGAGCTCTGCTGGCTGGATTCTTCATGCAGGTAGGATAGAAAAGCATTTGAGTGTTTTCCCTTTGCATTCCACAGCCTAAGTCTTTCGATTTTGTTGTTTGTTTTGAGGTTGCTCGAGACATGGACGGATCAGGGAATTATCTCATTCTGACACACAAGCATGTGGCCCAGCTGCACCCGTTTTCCAGCTACGGAGCCCAGTCACACAAACTGGGAGTGCCTCAGTGGGTTCTCTTTAATGAATATGCCCCATCTGAACACAACAGCATCAAAACAGTCTCTGAAATCTCCCCTCAAAAGTAAGTTTGGTTCTGCACAGTATATGCACTATGTGGATCCTAATACCTCCAAAGCAATTCTAAATGTCAAACTATTTTTTGTCTGCAGTTTTATAACATTCTCTGCATTTTAGAAGAAGCAATTTACCTTGAACTTTTTAGAAAAATACTGCAACACAATGCTAAAAATTATTGCTTATATTTGGAGTGCAGAATAGGTTGTGGCAAACAAAGGACACTATTTAGCCATCTATAAATCTTAATCTTTTTAAATAAGCAATGAGTATCCTACATTTTCCTGACTCTTTATTCCTGGGCCTCAGTGCTCACTTTTTCATTTGTCACCTTCTACTTGCTGAATTTGCTCTTCAGTATTTTATGTGGCATCAAAGATTTATCTAGAATCTGTAAGAGAGTGATCTCTGAGGAGAAAGTTTGAGGGCAGCCGGCCTGGAATTACAGCAGCTTCTGTAAAGTCGAAGTTTTATTGTCCTAAAAAACAAAACAAAAAAAAAATTCACAAAATAGGATTTTTTTTTTTTGTTGCATTTCACAGCAAAGGTTCAGTTCAACCATTTTTGAAGTTACATCAAGACCGCACAAAGTTAAATAGCAGTTTTTCTGTTTATTGGGTTTTCATTTAGTCAAAACAGTGATAAACTGTTTAAATCAAGGCATCAGTTTGTTGTTTCAAAGGAGTATATCAGATTGACATAGATCAATATAAAAAAAAAAGGTAGTTAACTGTTTGTTTTTTTTTGAAATGACAAAACTCTTTTTAGGGCATAGTTTTATTTTTATTTATCTGCAAAAGAAAACTACTTGGATGTGTAGGAAACATAAGTTATCCTGTCTGTAAGCATCATACAGCTGCTGTCGGTCCTATTTGATCTAAATTCTGTTGGATATATTTTTGACCTATGCTTTTGTTTTAGGTTCCTTGAAATGGCACCACTATACTTCTTCTACAATCTGCCCCCTAGTGAAAGCAAAGACGTACTGCAGGAAATGCTGAACGCTGAGGATTCCAGACATTGCTCAAAGAAACAAACCACGAACGGAAGCATTGATGCTGACAGAAGCTGTGCATATGAGACACAGACTGATAAATGTGTGATTCAGTGAGCAAAAGTTAAAAACATAACAAAACAAAACAAAAAAAACAGGTTAGACTTTTAAAATATTTGTAGCACAGTATATGGGATGGGGCTGTGTTGTTTGTAGCCTAAACATTTGTGGAGATGTCTTGTAAACCCTCCACAGAATCAGGACTTACTACAATTATGAAACAGTACCAGTATTCTATTTTTCAGGGTTTATACAGGAAGGACGAACTCTAATTTAATGCTTTTTAATGCTCTTAGAAATAATTTTAATGCCATCAATAGGTATCTATTACTCTCATATATATATATATATATAGATAGATATATATATCTATCTATATATATATATAAACACACGCCCAAATCCTTCGTAATCGTAACCATTGACGGGCTGCATTAGGATCAACCAGGAGCAGGAGCAAACAGGTGGAACCAGTTAAATCTGATATATTTGCCAAAATTTTTTTTCATTTTTTATTAAGCATTTAACTGCCATGACAATCACATTTAATGAATTTTAATGCCAATTAAGGCCTTAATTAAAAAAATAATAATTTTAATGTCCTGCAGGAAGCCTGATTTTAATCCGTAGAATAAATGTAGGAAGCATTAGCTGCAGAAAGATGGCCGTATCTATTGCAATACTTTGCTAAATGTAGAAAATAAATTCAAGAAAACCTTTAGTTCACCATCTTCTGGCTCTTTAAGGCATGTACAAATCACAGGATGTCTGAAACCTATCCTAACCATCAGAATTTGGGGTTATGATAAATGTTATACTCAAATGTGCTGCCAGAGGAACAGTATTTCAAAATAGTGAAGGTACTGAAAGGCAGAAATGTATCTGCTCTCATTTTTCCAGCTTTTTATGTTGACATTACACTACCACAGAGCAACGAAATTCACCCTCTGCATTTAACCCATCCCCTAGTGCCCTATCTAGGCTGTCACTCCTGCCATTTTTTTTTAAAGTCTCGCTCAAGGAGCCTGAATGGCAACCTGTGGGGCTCTAACTCAGAACCTCAGGATTCCAAGCTCTATGCAATAAACAGTAGGTCACCATCTCCCCATTTAAATCAGCAGATATAGCCATAAGATTGGGTTTTCAGGAATTAGGTTCTCCAACTGTGTTTGTAAAGTATATTAAAGAATCTTTATTTGAAAACTGTTCAGGTAGACTAAACCATTTAAACAACTGATGTTTTTTCTGAGTCTGGATTCAGTCATTTGTAACTTCTGGCATTGTTTCTGCCCGTCACTGAAAATGACTGTTTATTTTTTATGTTTTAATTATTAAACCACAAAATTAAATGTAAGATAAAGCAGTTGATGTTTTAACCAAAACCCAAAGGACTCTTGCATCATTTCCATGACTGCGGGTCTTCATTTAGAGTCTCTTTTCAAACAGTTAGATATTCCTTTAACTTTTCCATTACAGCTGGCATTCTGTCCATAGGTATGACCATCACGGTCCTGAAAGGCTTCATGGGAACGTCATCAAACGACCACCTGCCACTCAGACAGGAATCAGTATCCTCTTGGACTGAATAGTGGAACTTTATGATGGCTTGCTGTAAAACACAAAAAAATAAGGAAACAAGTTTAGGAGTTAGAAATGAATTGGGAATATATTTAAAGTAATTCACTTAAAAAAAAATAAAACTTGAGGATTTATTATCAACTTAAGTATTTTAAGGTTTTATTTATTTTTATTTTAATGACTTGGAAAGCATGAAAGCTCAAAGAATATAGATTCTGAAAAAAAAAAATGTAACTACACATCAGTCTGCAATATCTGTTTACTTGCCATGGTTTCTGAAGCAACAACTCCAGCTGCTCAGGCTGAATCCCAAACCGGCTCCTAAACACTAACCCAAAGCACTAACCCCCTGTTTGTGCGTTCCCGGAGGGTCTGCCACATTATGGGCTGTCCCAAACCACATAGCTGGTAGGGTGAGTGGAACGGTCAGCCCTTGAATAGCGACTCTGCATGGTAGCAGGCTCGCTGGAATTTGTCATCGGTTGTAATGGCGAAAGTGCATTCAAATGTAAGATTTGCTGAATCTTTATCACACTGACAAAAAAATCCCAATTTAGGAAAAATAAAAAAGACCAAATTAATCCCTAACAGGAAGGTCCTATTAGAAATGGTTTTATTTGACGGGATAGATTTATTTGTAAGAAAATGTTAAACGTTATGTTAACCTGCACCACAGAGCTACAGCCACACACGGGGCATCACCGTGTTGCCATAGGAACAACTGCTTTCCCTTCCCGTTGGAGGGAACAGGTCATCCCATCACTTTTATATCACTTACAATCCAGGCACCTTAGACAGCTGCGAATGGAGGCTTTACTATGTGTGACACTTGATAGTTAGGGGGATGTTTTGGATTCAGCCTCAAAAACTTGAATGGCTGTGGTTAATGCTGGTTGTTTCCTCAAACAGCCTTTTTTCCTTTCACTAAACTTTCCATTAGCATCCTTAGTTACAGCACTGTGCAGCAAACTTTTAACAATGAGCTCTTTTAAAATTTGCCTCTTAGTGGAGAGTGTCATGATAATGTAAACAATACCATGGCCAAAATACTTCCTTTTACTTTTTATGCAATATTATTTTATTAGTGTGTTTCTTTTTCATTAGCTAAAAGCCCAAATCAAACTAATAATTATAACTGTGCAATCAATCTATCAATCTAATAACTACTAAAATAAACTCATGAAAAACACCTGTAGGTCTGACTTAGCTTAAATCTTCCACAGTCTGAATTGTTTTGACTGTACCTCATGAAAGAATTCCTCCTCTGCATTAATGAAGATGTACTCCTCTTTGGGAGCCCCCCCTCTGGCTGGGATACTTTTGGTTGCCTCTTTGCAGGTCTTGCTGATCATCAGGCAGTAGTGACACCTCCCGCTGGGTTTATTTGTCCTCTGGGCTTCAGCCATTTCTTCCCTGAAAGACAGTACCGGTTTCCTTTTATCCTTCTGGAATACCCGCTAGAAGAATATTTGAGGTAGGAAGTAATAAGCAGTGAATAAAAAAAAAGCTCAGAGATGAAGAACTCACTGAAGCTGTTTATGCAGAGGAAGGGCAATCTGTGGAGGTACGTTGATGAAGCGCTCACACAGCAGCAGACCTACAGGCTTGCTTGTGTCGCTGAAGATCTTCTCAAGCTGTTCAGTTATGTTGTGAGGAGCGTTTTTCTCACACTGGTCCAGAATCAGATCTTTGACCTCCTCCACTGACTGCACACCCTACATAAAAAAACAAACATACACTTGTTTTGACATGGTGTTCCTGGTGGTGTCTTTTCCCGGACTTTTCCATGCAATTAACCCCTTTCTGATCATATAAAACATAAAAAAAAATTTTCTTCAGAAATGACTGGATGAACAGACATGATCTGAGAGATAAGCAACAGGATTGATGGACAGATGGCTAAATGGATAATTATGAAGGGTTGACAAATAAACAATGAATGAATGAAGTAAGAATTATGGTGCATTCACACCAAACACGTTTTGGGCAACAGATTTACATCTTATCCCTATGTAAGTAACAGAGACAAAGCTTTTTAACAATAAAAAATGTAATATAGAAGAAATAACGTTGACATAGGACAAAATTAGCAATGCTTTGAAGAGGTTTGTAGGTGGCTCAACTTGTTCCAGTTTCTTCTGAAATCTAATATCATCTCCCTTGTTTTGTTGGCATTCAGGATCAGATGATTGTTTCCACACCATGCCACAAAGTGGTTCACCAGCTCTCTGTACTCAGCTTCTTGTCAATCTTTGATGCATCTAATGACTGCAGGGTCATCAGAGTATTTCTGTAGAGGACAGAACTCAGTCTGGTACTAGACATCAGAAGTGTACAAAGTAAAAAGGAATGGTGAGAGTACTGCTGTGTCCTTGATTAGACAACTGACCCTTCATTCTAACAAACTAGTCTGTTTATCAGGGAGTCTTTGATCCAGATGATTGTTCATGCCTCCACCTGAGTCTTCTGAAGTTTCTCATAAAGTAAGTCAGGCTGAATGATGTTAAATGCACTGGAGAAATCAAACAACATGATCATCATAGTGCTGTCTGTCTTGCCTAAATGACAGTGGGTTTATTGAAGCAGGTGTATGATGGCATTGTCAACTCAAAATCCACGGTGATAAGCAAACTATTGGGGATCTTCAGAGCTTCTTGTTTGCTTGCTGAGATGAACCAAGAAAAAACCTTGGCTGATCAGAAAATTTCTATTTACATAGATTCTATATAAAATGATCCAATCGAGACATGCATATACAGGCACTGATCATTCGATCAGATTAAATAATTTAAGCATGCTCGGAACCAATAATCTGCGGTCCGCTTGTCCTCATCTTCAGCTCTTTGTGTGGCTAATGATTAAATTCAAGGAAAAAACGTTCTTGCCATACTTCCAGGAGTAAATACAATTAAACCCTATTAGTAATATTACCTTTCTCTCAGTAAGATTGAGCATGGTGATGAAGCCAAACACTTCATCTGGATCATCATCGTCGCTGTCCTCGGGTACTTCAGCTTGCTGCAGCAAAAAAAATAGACAATATGATTAATAGAAAACATCAACAAGTCTAAAGGCATGTACTGTAATGATAAACCTACCTTGATGACGCTTCCAATGTGGTTCTGCTGGATAATGATGTCAGTCATCTCTGATACATCTACATGGCTCTTCAGGAAGAGCTACGAACAAACAAAACAGAAGTGACATCAATGATGGCCTTTAACAATTATTATTATTTTTTTTATCGTTATAGTCATGTTTTATACCCTTTGCAACAGTTTCTTGATGCCGTTGTGGTCGTTGTGGGAAATGGCGTGAGCTTCGAAGTCCACCAAAACCTCCTGAATTTAGACAAGCACAACATATAAAACATATAAATCCCCATACTGTAAACGACCAGGATAACAACTCAGCAGAAAAGCGAAAACGTAAAAGTGGGCTTTTTTGTTGTGTAGTCGACGTCATTAAAAGGTTAATGTAAGCTAACTGACAGTTGTTTTATTTTTTACCTCATTGATCTCTTCATCGCTGTCCTCATCGGCAGATTCGTCATCATCCTCTGGGTTCTCTTCAGAGCTATTCTCGCTCTCTTCGGGATTTTTATCTAAACCCACCGCTCTCCTCTTAGCCGAAGAAGCCATGCTTGCCTGTAAAAGTGAAACGCTCGTGTATTTTAGGTGGGCAGGGAAAACGACACGAGGAGACGACGTACGACTTCGTTACCAAGGTTACGTCAGCACGTACAGCAACTGACGTATTTTCTACAGTACACTTCTTCTTTTTTTTTTATGGCGGTTGGCAAGCAACTTCTTGATGCGCATTACCACCATCAACTGGAATAGTTGAACCACTTCACAAACATTGCCTTTTTTAACAAATAGTAATCATGAGTAGAATAGTTTGCAAATGGTAATACTTGTGCGCATGTAATTTTCTACAGACGCAAAACACGACAGTCACACCGATTATCCTAAAACAAAGCTTTATAGCACATATTTTTAGTGTCAAAAAATTTTCACCACTCACAATATGGCGGCCATGCAAGCTTTTGAACCATACCCACTTGTATGTCCTTAAGCTTCTGCTTCCTAACTTGTCAACGAGTTTAAAATGTAGGTTATTAGTAATCGGTTGGAAAAAAACAAAACACGGGAAACTCATTTAGCAACAATTAGGAATTAGAATAATGAAATTATCATTAGTTTACTGGATGGAAAAATAAAGATAGTAAGGAAGACAGTTTGAGATCAACAATTTTACAAAACTGTTGGGAATATGCAACTTTTCAGAGTACTTGATTTGGATGGAATATGGACAAATGCTTTAAAATGTTTGGGTTAGAGGACAAATAAATTACTTTGCAATGTTCCTCTATAATAAATGTAGACATGGGGCTTATTATAATGAAATGGGAATCTAAAACAGATGTATACCTAAGAAACAGATTTTCAATTGCCGCAAAACATATGTAGATAATTCTATATAGCAAAGGATGTGTGGGAAAAGGAATATATATATATATATATATATATATATATATATATATATATAATTATTATAATTATATAATAATATATAGAAATATATAGAAATATATATCTATATATATATATATACCATTGTCACCCTAAAGGGGATTACACCTCGGAACTTCCCTTCTGGTTCTTTTCCTGGGAGCAAGCTACTTAGTTTAATTTGTTATTAACTTTAAACTTGGTAAAACTATATAAAAATGACTAAAAACAGGAGTAAAAATTAATAGAGTTTATTCCAATTCAGATTGTTACAGGACAAAGAAATTGCTTGGAGTCCGTACAGCTGTGGGCTCAGGTCGTCAGCACGTGATGGCATCCGGAAAATGAGCCCCGAACAAGGTCATCTCCTGCTTCTTATACCTCATAAGTCTATGTGTTGCATCAGGTGGATGCATAGCTGTTCGTGTCAGAAACTGACACGCCATCCATGCCCTGACCTTTGTGCCTCTTGCCTCTACGCCTCAGGATTACAGATAGCTCTCCTTTATCAGTCTGGCTCTAGGATGTATCATTATCCAGCGTTTGTTGTACAGACAAAAATACTGTCTTCATTAGATGGCCTCTGCGCACACAATGTGATACA